GTGTAAAACTTCATTCTGTTACACCTATCTTGGGCGTTTCACTAAACTTAGCTTAGAAATAAATATAGTTTTTATTGTCTCTTTGGTAAAAAAAAGCATGCATATCTACAAATACATTCAAAAGACATGATATATACTACATATATATATATATATATATATATATATATATATATATATATAGATAGATACATATAGATAGATACATATAGATAGATTGATAGACATAGATATATAAAGATATATTAAGATACAGTATATACTGATTATGCCAGAACCCTGCAATTCGGTATTGCTTTAAACAATTAAATTATTGATAATATTATAAAATACAATTCCTCTTAAAATGGTTAGCTGTTCAAGCCATGAGTGGTTCACAGAAGATTTCCTTTTATTATATATGGAGAATGGAGGACTGTCCATCAGCATTTATCATGCAGAGGAATACACTTATTAGATGTAAATTTTGATTTGTGATGCAATGTGTTATGAGTGGTAAAAAATTAATAATGACACAAAGGATGCCCTTCATAATTTCTGTTTTCTCTAATAATATTTTCTGTCTGCATCACATATAGGACATCATTTACTGTTAATCTATAGCAAATGTCACAGATTTTTTTTTATGTAAATTTATAAAATTCCCAACTAGAAGAAATTGTTGGCAGAACATGAAAAGAATCTATCACACATAAAATGATATAATTCTTCTACTCCACATATGCGAAGTATAGCATTCTGTTGCCAGGGGCTTCTATCACTCTATAACACATTGGCATTAATTTACTAAAGTAGTAAAGACCTGAGCAGTTACTCAGCAAGATAAAGCTAAACTCTGAGAAAATTACAAAACTATCCTTGTGGTTATGTTTCCCCGTGCTGCAACGATCAAATGTTCATTTTTGTCTAGAGTACCTTAAAAAACAATTTTACTTACCCTACCCCTCGCTCCCTCAGGCCCCTCCTCTCCATGCGACGGGTCCCCCAAAGCTGCTCCAGTGCTGTTATTTTTGGGGTATTTTTCTTTCATATGATTGAAAGATTAAAGTGGACAAAATGTCCCTTATTTAATTAAGCTCACTGAGCGTTCACTTTGAAAAATTAAATTTTTCTCCCAATGTAATGGGCAGCAGCAAGGGAGCAGTATTCTTTACACAAGCCATTATAAGAGTAATTAGATAATATAGTAAAAAGTATAGGTAACAATGGCAAAAATATGGAAGAGGTGAAGAGGTTCATGTACTCAACAGAAAAGCAGTGTGTGGTGTGCAAATGTTTGTAATGGAAATATACTTTACAGTTTTGATGTGTACATATTACACTTTACAATAAATATTTTTTGATTTGACATTCAAATTTATTATTTCCTTCTATAGCAGCTTTCTGTTCATCTGTCAGTGTATCCAGGAATCTCTGGAGAAAAAAATTCTGACATTGTTATGATTCTAAAATAAGCAACATATTGCCGTACTCAATAAACAGTACAAGCACAAAAAAAAAAATATGTGCAAACTGCAGAATTACCTATCTATAGCCAATCAGAATTCACTGTACTGTAGTCAGACCATTACAATATTGGTTTGAATTTAACATTTTATTTTTTTGACAAATAGAATTAGCCAAACTGATTGAGTTCATTCAAATTCCAGTCCTTACTTGCAATGCATTTATTAATGATTCCCATCTAATTTATTCACAGACAGTACCACGTCACCCTGCATTTAGAGCTGCTGTGGTCCATAGATCTCAATAGCAAATGTTCAGCCAAACATGAACTGCTCTCCCCTCACTCATCAACTTTTTTTTAAATTCACTTTATTGATTCATACTGCAGAGTAAAAACAATCCACGCTTATGCTTTTTGGCCACTACTCATCTGCCTAATTCACTGCATGTTTAATACTTCCATTTCCTTTTCTTCTAGAATTCTTTTATGGTATCTGTACCACTAGTTTGACTTAAAGCAGTATTAAACCCAAAAGCAAACATTAATTATATTGCAGCTTACCAATTCTTAGACAAGGTGGCTGCATTAGTGTTTTTTTTAGGCTTTCTTTCCCTTATTTTCTCCTGGTGATCTGACCAGCAAGTCTGTGTTTTTTCAAAAGAACAAGCTCTCCAGCAGATGTAGCGGTTACAGGGATGAGACAAACCATTGATCACTGACAGTAGTGCTTATAATGATTAGCTTTTATTAGCTTTTTTTAAAAACAGTTGCTGTAACTTCTTATAAACTGTTAGCTGGTGTTTGGAAAAAAAATTGTTACTGTATCTAAATCTGCTAGTACATTTAGCACTCCATTCCCCCTACACTGATAGTGCTGCTGTCAAAAAGTGTCCACTGTCCTTCATCCAGAGTGGGGGCACTATAATACAGAAGGGGTGTAACCAGCCAGATCACTAAGTGAAAAACAGAGGCAAAAAACTAAAAAAGAAAACTATAGAAGCCACCACATCTAAGGATTGTTAAGCTGCAATATATCATATTTTTGGTTTTGGTTTTAATACCGCTTTAAAGCATATCTAAAGCCAAAACTTTTTTTTTTATATAGAGTATGAAAGTCCCTTGTAAAGTGTTTATTGATGTGTAAATTTCTGCTAGGAAGTTTAAACTTTTCTATTATTGTTGGTGACTGTTGTCACTGAGAGAGAAATAGATGGGAAATCCAAAAATAAATAATTATAATAATATTTGCTGTGATGATGCTGTAAATGTAATATATAAATATACAGACGCTAACACCTCTGAAATGCCATAAAAACCGTATACTTATGTAACAAACACTAAATTTAATCTTGAACTTAATGCATACAACTGTTTGTTAAGTATACTGAAAAAACATCCATTAATGGGGAGTTATAAAGGTTTATGATCAATTTTATTTAAAAGTTTACAATTTATAGCCTGAGTTTATAAATTGATTGCAGAAAAAGATGGAAAATAGAGATAAATGAATTTAACTTTATTTATTTAACTTTATTATACAGGGCTGAGCAAACTGTTGGCGCTATATAAATACTGTATAATAATAATACTTTACTATACTTACTTTATTATACTTTATCTACTTAAATTCAGATGCTGAATGTGGCTGATGGAGATACTTGCTGTTAGACCAGTTCTGTGCTTTGTCATTAGAGTACTTTCAATTTTCAACTTTTGATGAGCTGCGGGGGGCTTGGTGAGATCCACTGCAAGCATGGCAACACATATCATTTAGTTACCCCTCCAGAAAGCCATTTCTACAGACAGAAAGAAGCCTTTCTGGGTAGTGGGCAGGATTATAACTTTGAAATGTTCATATTTCAATTATGACTTCATATGAAAAGTTGTTCTGCAGTAGGGAACATTGCCCAATCATATCAAATACTTAGTTGCCTTTATTCATACACATTTTACACATTTAGTTTATCACATGCTTTGAGCAATGTGTAACAGGATGGCAACATACTCCTTTTATTTTAAGGAATCATTAGGGAAAGGAAGTGATTTTATTACTGCATTATGATGGCAATCACTTTACCTCTAAGTATTGACTAAGCACTGCGCAATGAGACCAGTTATGGCAAATCAGTGGACATGACTATACATTTCTATGCATTAAATCAAATTTACATGAATAAAGTAAGCACTTGTCTTTCAAATCAATAACATTTTTTTTAAAACCATTTGACTGATCTTAAGGGTACCAGTTCTACTATTATTATATCTAGTTAAATATTTCATGTAAAATATGGATAATGGAAGGATTTATTTTAGCATTATTAAACCCATTTGCCTTTGTGGATACATACATGCATGGATGAACAACCGTGTAAACCATTTTAATGGACAGGAAAATTGAACACTACTTAACCTCGATTCACACTAGAATGTGGTTGGGGAAATCTGCAGTTTGTGTGTGTTTCCAGCACCTCATTCAAATCACACTGCCTTTGCAATCTGTAGTGGGTGTTAGGAAAATTATAACGACACCCCAATTGCAGGTCGCAAATGCAGTGCTTTTGGATCCCTTTGAGAATGTGCATACGCACGAAATGCGTCAGCAAAAGCCTACGTGCTGACGTCACGCCGCGCATCCACATGATGGTCCAGTGGCCATCTTTGTAAGTGTTTTTTATCCATTGATGATTTTATGCTCCACGTGGTTGCTATTTTTTTAATAAAACATACTACACTATATGATATTGTCTCCAGGCTTGGTTTATGAGCTTACCCTCTAGGAGGAATCCCTTTCCTTGGTTCACCATGGGCTGGAGATGGAGACTTGGCTACTCTACTTTTGATTGTTTGTTTGGTGCATCACTGGCTTCTGGAGAGTTCCCACCTTCAACCTGGTCACCGGCAGGAGGAACAAGCAGGAACACCCCTTAGTGTCATTCTGCTCTTGGCTTGATTGTTACTTACTTTTGGTGAGTGCATTATGGTGGCGGTGCAGTGCGGAAGTCACTACATTTTGTTGATTTGATCACATCACTATTTTTGGGACTATTATGATATTTGGAGGATTTATATATTTTATTTTCTTATTTGTTATATCATCCATTTTGATTCTTCATTGGAGTATTGACTATTCTCTATTTCTTTTTTATGATGTTTCCTTTCTCTTTTACTATCACACTGGTCATCATTGATTATAACACAATTTTGTTAGCGCTGCACATTGATATTATAGTGCTTTGCCTGCACCGGATCGCATGATACAAAAAAGACCATACAATCGAGTTGCAGTGCATTGCCAAAACTGCTCCATTCATGACTTTGATGCTGATGCAGGGTGATTTGAGCCCATTTAACATGAATGCGCTCAAACCACACTACACTGAATCGCATGTGAATTGTACAGGAATGCAGAGCAATTCCTGTGCAGTTTATATGCGATTCATAGTGTGAACCAAGGCTTACATTCATTAAAAGCATGAGGTAAGCATTAACAAATTAAAGTGGTAATAAACTTTCTTTAAAAATAAAAAACATGGGTCCTGGGTGGTTAACTTACCTTAAAGTGTTACTAAACCCAGGACCCTGTTTTCACTATATCTGGTCTCCCACAGTACACAGAACATGGAAATGCAATTATTTTAGTAAATATAAACTGCTTAATACCATTTCTCATCAGAAGTTAGAGAAGTCTTGTGACTTCTATCTGTGTCCAGCCCACCACTAGCTAAAGCTTGCAGGAAGAGTTTTCTTTCTGCTCTAGGAGGATGGAAATCCCCTGACCCTCTGTCTGGACAGTGCTGATTGGCCCAGTGCTGATTACATGCACTCTCCCAAGGAAAAAAAAAACACTCTAGCAATACACACCAAACTGAGCTTGTGCATGCCTACTGTTCAGTCTGGAGATAAGAGGTGGTCACTTGAAAAAGGGGAGAAACAGAGAAGAAAGGATAAAACAGCCTTTTTATATCATGCAGAGGATTAACCCTTTAGGTTCCACAGTGAGTATAACAAGCATGCTTTAATGCATATACAGACTGATTTTACTGGGTTTAGTAACACTTTAACGCAAAGCCCTCCAGCGGCATGCAGTCACCGCTGACAGGACTTCCACCTTCACCCTATCTTTCTTCTGTGTTTACGGGCTGCGGCCGCTTGAATGGTCGTGCCGCGATGCAATCACAACCATGGCACAGCGCTCTGAATGGGCAGCATGGCTAAGCCGTCCCTTCAGAGTACATGTGTCGGTGACATCACTGGCTGCATCCCATGTGAATATCTCCTAAACAGTGCAAGTTTAGGAGATACTGTATTCACTGTACCTACAGATAAGCCTTATTATAGGCTTACCTGTAGGTACAAGTTCAAAAGCAGAGTTTACTTCCTTTTTAAGTACTAAGTGTGAAGGCAGTAGCATAGGTTACCCTGATTTATGCTCCATACATGGTTGTATACACATAATTTGGATATAACCTGTACTGTATTTAGCCCTTAAAATCTGCCTCATAAATATAATTCTGGTTAATTAAAACATAACTGTTTTTAAAGAGAACATGCTCCAAAAAAGTCCCTTAACTACTGCTGGCCCAAAAATGCCCCATTGGTGCCCCAAATTCTAAGGCGCTATTGTTTGCAATTGTTGAACCCGCTTCCCGATCAAAAGCCTTCATCTGTTCCCCTCGGCACTCTAACAGCAGCCGTGAAACTCAGCTGTGATAGAGAGTGAAAAGATGAACTGTGACAGTGCAAGAATTATAAGGATTTATTAACGGATACCTTAACCTCCCTGGCGGTATTCCGAGTGTAGCTCGGGGTAAAGTTTCAGTACCACAAGCGGTAACCCCGAGCTACACTCGGGCTTACCATGCGGCGCATCTCCGGGATCCCTCGATCACTTACCTTGTCCTGTGCTCCCACGATGTCCCTCCTGCAGCGAATGCCGGCATCTGTCATCTGGGTTCCGTCCCCTGCGAGCGTCGGGATGTACGGGGGATGGAACGGCGGGAAATTTGAAAATGACAAAAAGTGACATTCACTAAAATCACTAAAATCACATAGTATAACATACTGTATCAAACCATTTCACATACATTTTGTCCCTAGTGCTTTGTCCTGTGCCCTGCCTGCATTTTTACTGTTCTTTCTGCCTGGAAACTGAGAAACGTCTATGGCGTCCAAAAAGCGTCCCTTTAGGTCAAAAGCGGTTTTAGACCGGCTAGAGAACAGCGATAGTAAATCAGAACCACTTGCAGAACTGAGTGATAATGATTCGTGGAGAAATTCGTCATCAGACACTGAAAACGATTTTGCGACTTTGCTCAGTGATGTGCGAACTTGGCACTCTATTTCAACTTTCAGTGTTTTTGGTTTGATTATATTATTGAATTAAATTTATTATTATTATATTATTATTTTTTATGATTATTTATTAAATTATAATTTATGATTTCATGTTTCAAGTTTTATCATACCCGGGATGTTTACTAGACTCTTGTTCGGACAGATTTCAGTAAGTTATTCCTAAAAATTACAGGCCTACAATAAAAAAAATACATATTTTCCATACAAATAAAGTACCCGCTTTTGAGCACAGAAATATGGACATAATCAGACCGCTAGGGAGGTTAACCTGGCAATCCCTTCACTACTATGGACAGTCTCCTAGCTAGGTACCTTGAGGTTAATGCTAGGTGCTGCCATTGGTGGTTTACTTTTTTCACTCCAACTTCCCTTAGAAATTAAACATTCTTCTTTAATTATTAGACAGTAGTTGAAGTGCAAAGTATTTATTCTAAAATAAATGAAATGTAATTTTAGCTACAGTGCATGGGTTGCAAACTTCTTGATTATGTTGCGCACTGTGGACCAAAGGCAAATCTAGTTCTCTGGTGAATTGTTGATATTTTGCCTCATAATTGCTTATGCAACTAATTGATGTATTATCCTAAAACCTCTATCTGTATTCTGTAGTTTTGTAATTATTCAAAACTGAATGTTGCAGTTTAATAATTCCCAGTAATTTGTTCCAGTGAAGGTCCCCAGTGCAGTCTTCATGTAAGAGGATACAGTTAGAGTAATATGTACACTACTTAACACACTATTAGCAGCATAAACATTCCTATAAAGTAGAATTTGGCAGGAGAAGATACTGAAAACATCTGTGATCCATACATTATATGTAATATTCTTTGATGTGTTTGGCTGTAGAGACCTCCTATCAGAAAACTTGCATTAAATGCTTATATTGTATAAAAGCTTGCTTTGTAAGCATTGTTCTTATTGGGAAACAAATGTACAACTCATTCTTGAAAGACAGTTTATTTCTCTCAGGAATTGTTTCAGCTGTAATCTGCAAAATTACATCAGCTCTTATATATACTAACTAGACCATGCATCTTATGAAGTGCAATCTCCAGTGTTTTGGTAAATAGTGCTGTGTATAGCAATGTATTTTTAGATGTGTGACTTCTGGTTCAGTACATACGTACAGCTTGTCTCCAGCATTAGAACTCCAGAGAATAGGTTGTCTGATGCTCTAACAGTCTTTTATTTTTTTGCTACCAAATACAAATGCATATCTAGTAGCAACCTATGTTGAAACAATCACATATACTATATTGCCAAAAGTATTGGAACACCACTCCAGATCATTGAATTTAGGTGTTCCAATCACCTCCATGGCCACAGGTGTATAAAATCAAGTACCTAGGTATGCAGACTGATTCTACAAACATTTGTGAAAGAATGGGTCGCTCTCAGGAGCTCAGTGAATTCAAGCGTGGGACCGTGATAGGTTGCCACCTGTGCAATAAGTTCATCCATGAGATTTCCTTGCTACTAAATATTCCACGGTCAACTATTAGTGGTATTATAACAAAGTGGAAGTAACTGGGAACAAGAGCAACTCAGCCATGAAGGAAGTGGTAAGCCATGTAAAATGACAGAGCAGGGTCAGCGCATGCTGAAGTGCACAGTGCACAGAAGTCTCCAACTGTCTGCAGAGTCAATAGCTAAAGACCTCTAAGCTTTGTGTGGCCTTCAAATTAGGACAACAACAGTGCGTAGAGAGTTTCATGGAATGGGTTTCCATGGCCGAGTAGCTGCATCCAAGCCTTACATCACCTAGTGCAATACAAAGCATTAGATGCAGTGGTGTAAAGCACGCTGCCACTGGACTCTAGAGCTGTAGAGACATGTTCTCTAGAGTGACGAATCACTTTTCTTTGTCTGGAAATCCGATGGACGTGTCTGAGTTTGGCAGTTGCCAGGATAACGATACTTGCCTGCCTGCATTGTGCCAAGTGTACAGTTTGGCAGAGGGGGGATTATGGTGTGGGGTTGTTTTTCATGAGTTGGGCTTGGACTCTTAGTTCCAGTGAAGGGAACATTTAAGGCGTCAGCATACCAAGACAGTTTGCACAAATTCATGCTCCCAACGTTGTGGGAACAGCTTGGGGATGGTCCCTTCCTGTTCCAACATGACTGCGCACCAATACACAAATACACAATACACAAAGCAAGGTCCATTAAGACATGGATGAGCGAGTTTGGGGTGGAGGAACTTGACTGGCCTGCACAAAGTCCTGACCTCAACCCAATAGATCACCTTTGGGATGAATTAGAGCGGAGACTGCGAGCCAGGTCTTCTTGTCCGACATCAGTGCCTGACCTCATAAATGCTCTTCTGGTAGAATGGTCAAACATTCCCATAGACACACTCCTAATCCTTGTGGACAGCCTTCCCAGAAGAGTTGAAGTTGTTATAGCTGCAAAGGGTGGGCCAACTTAATACTGAACCCTACGGGCTAAGACTGGGATAAAGTTCATGTGCATGTAAAGGCAGACATCCCAATACTTTTGGCAATATGGAGTATGTCCAGTACAGTACAAGCAACCAGTTACTACTGAACTGAGACATGTCTCCACTTGGTGTATATAAAATAAACTGATTATTTCCTTTTTATCAGTTGATGCTTTTCTTCATAGATAGACTTGCCCATTTTTGTGGTGTTTCCTGGAAATTATGATCAAAACATTCCAAAAAAAGTCTATAGTATATGTACTATGCTATGACAGTGAGCTGACAGTCAATAAAAAAAAAACATTAATTCCACCAAATAAGTATTTGGGTAGACTTACTGGATAAAGAGCACTCTGCAGTTCTGCACATCCGACTTCTGAAAGCAAAGTTGAAATTTACAGAGTTTCACAGCTGCTATCTAGGAAATTGTGACAAGAGAGGGAACCATAATCAGCTTGCAACAGCCTCTATGCACAAGTACTGTTGAATTGGACAGCAAGGGTCACGTTAATGATTCTTCAGAGAAAGGGGAGTGTTCCTGGGGTTAACTCTGGACACTACTTTAATAAATAAAATAAAAATAAGTAATTACTAAAGAATGGGTGGATAATGAAGAGTTAACTAATAATCAGCAATTTTTCTTTTTTAAGGGGCATTCCCCTCCTTCAGGCAACCACACTTAAAAATAAAGACTTTTCCTCATTCAGATGCAGCACCAAAGGGGGAATCACTGCTACATATAATGACATGTAAGCGTTACAGAGGCATGACAGTACTGCCCCTGAGGTGGTTACATTTCATTATTATTATTATTATACAGGATTTGTATAGTGTCAACAGTTTACACAGCACTGTACAGCAAAAGGGCAGACAGTACTATTACAATACAATTTAATACAGGTGCAGGCAGAGGGCCTTGCTCAGTAGAGTTTACAATCTAAGAGGGAGTGTTAAGAGATACAAAAGGTACTAGCTATGGGGGTGAGCTGATGGAGAAAATAGAAGTACAATTGTAAGGTGGAGGTGGGAAAGGCTTCTCTTAACCTCTTGCTGTCCGCCTGCTGTTTATAAAATGGCAGGGCGGTGGCAGTCCAGGGGCGGGTTGCCGTTCATAAACGGCACCCGCCTTTTCTAGCTGTGCGCGCTCCCTGGGAGCACGCACCACCGTGATCCGGTGCCCGCTGTGTCCTCCGGACACAGTGAAACACCGATCGTCGGACGGGACCTCTGTACGAGGTCCTGATCATGTGATCACTGATTGGCGAATCAGTGATCACATGCAAAGTAGTAAGCAAGATGTCACTTGTGACATCATTGCTTACTACGTGTAAAATCTGTGAATGATCACAGAGGTCACATGGTACAAGGCTATTCACAACAGCCTTGTACCATGTGACAAGCTGTGACCAATCACAGCTCACTCAGTACTTCTCAATGACTGCAAGAATGCAGACAGAGAGAAAGAGAAATGATTGCTTTTACATCCTATATGGGTGTAAAAGCAATCAGTGTAAAAAAAAAAAAAAAAATCTTCATCATCCCCCACAAGTAGTACAGTGTCACCATGGTGACACTGTACTGCTAGGGTGACAGTATGTAAAAAAAAAAAAAATAAATAAAAAATAATAATATAAAAAAAAATAAAATAAAAATGTAAAAAAAATGTTTAAAAATTATAATTTTTGGTTATAAACTAATTTGGATTTTTTTTTTGTACTAAAAAAATAACGGAATAAATTTTGGCCAAGATTTATGATGAAATATTATTTATTTTCAAAATTTTATTTAAAAAAACACTTTTTTTCAAAATGTTTGGACTTTTTCATTTACATAGTAAAAAAAATAAAAATCCCAGCGGTAAATAAATACCACCAAAATAAAGCTTTATCTGTCTCAAAAAAATGGTAAAAAATTTATATGGGTACAGTATTGCATGACCGTGCAATTGTCATTCAAAGTGTGATAGCGCTGAAAGCTGAAAATTGCCCTGGCCAGGAAGGGGGTAAAAGTGTCCGGACAGGAAGTGGTTAAGAGAAGGGTTTTCAGGGCTTGTCTAGAAGTGGACAGAATAGGAGATAGTTGAACAGATTGGGGTAGGGAGTTCCATAGGATAGGAAAGGCTCAGGACAAGTCCTGGAGGCAAGCATGGGAGGAGGATACAAGGGAGCTAGAGAGCAGGAGGTCTTGAGAGGAACAAAGAGAATGATTAGGTTGATATTTTGAGACTAGGTTAGTGATGTAGCTGGGGAAAGAGTGGTGGATGGCTTCGTAAGTTGTTGTCAGTATTTTTA